CACCTCTCCCTGTAAAGCTGCACATTCATACCAAAGAGTATTACGACCTTGGGGGGGCTCAGAGGAGGTGGGGGGTTGCACATGTGGCAGAATGGAGGAGGTGAGGGGTTCTTCAAGCTCTCTGCGTGGTAGACCCTCAGGATGGCAAGGAGGCGAGCGCCTGGCAATGAGTCTTGCCAACCAGGTGGTCTTTCCAGAGCCTTCCCTGACATGCCTGCCTTCGCCACCTTGTGCCTCAGTTTCCCCATTAGTCCAGTGGGGATAATAGGACCTGCTACCGCCTTGATTCAGAGAAAAATTAGTGGCGGCCCTTTGAGGTTTCCCTGAGAAAAGTGCCATCTCCCTGGAGGAAGGTGTTGGCTCATTATCTTGCCGGCAGGGATCAGCTGCCCCTAAAGGGTGTTGATTTTGCTGTGATCACAGAACAGGCTGCAGAGAGAGCAAAATAATCATCGTGGCAGGTGTTTCAGAAATGTAGCACTCTTTTTCTGGAATTTCTATCTTGAAGCCCCGTGCTTCCCTGAGGCAGTCTGGGCTGCTTTTTTCCTTCCCCCATGGGTGGGCTGATTTCGGGGGGCATGTGGTGCTCAGCCCTCAGCTCCCCAAGCAGGACCCCCAGGACCCAACTGGAATTTTCCTGGTCCCTCCAGGGCCCCTCTCTGGGGCTCTGGTATTCACTCTGGAGCGCGGGAACCCCATAGGCTTCCTCCATCCTGCTTGCCCGGACATGCACAGTGGGCTGTTTTTGCTCTGCCCTGGGCCCTCACCTGATTGCCCCAGGGAGTAGGGTCCAGGTCACACCTCCACTTAACTCACCCTGAAGCCAACTTTGGAAGGCTTCCTCCTTTTCCTCCCACTTCTCCTCCTTCCCACCTCCTCCTAACTCAGGGACCATCATAACTGAGGACTGGGAAATGGATTTCCTCCTTAGGGTTTAGGCTCTGGAATCCGGAAGACTTTACTCTTTTTCTGCCACAACAACTCCAGCAAAGCCCTGTCTACCCAGCTCCCCTTGCATTTGTAGGAGCCAGCTTCTGGCAGCACTGCGGGCCTGACGGCGCTGTGGGACCCCCCAGAGCTGCCCGGTGTGTGCGCTTGCCAGCTGTACAGCCAGCATCTCACTATTCTCAGGAGGACCCTCAGTGCATGACCGCTCCCTCACTGTGTGGGGTCACTGAGATATGTGTTCTGTATGGTCTCTGTATTCCCCCCTGGGGTCAAGCTCTACCTGCCCCATGACACACACTCTGTAGCTTCCCTCACCTCGTCTTTCTCTCTCCCTTATGAGTGTTTCCTAGGGTCACCTCCCAAATAGAATCCTTGTGATGGCATCTCTTTTTGGGGGACCCAGCACGAGACAGCCTCTCTTCTCAGGAGCAATGAATGGGGCCTGCTGACCGATGGGGGAAGAAGAGACGGGGTAGGAGGGAGAGAGGGTGGAGGAGGAGTCACGAGTTAATAGTTCAAAATATCAAGGCATATCTTTGGAAGCCCAAATAAGTGGAGCTTTCCTAATTTTGTGCTTTCTTCGACAATTACTCCATGCCTGGCGCAATGCTCCATATTCTCACAGACTGTTTCAGGAGATCTCCCTGTAGCTCTGCCCAGGTGACCTGTTCTCAGAGCTGAGGGATCTGGGTCTCAGGGATATACACCAGCAAGCCAAGTGAGCAGGGCCAGGAACTCAATCCGATGGTTCTGCTGGGAAGCATCTCAAAATTCTTCGGCTAGTAGGAAGGACACAGTGCCTTGAGGTAAGCCATTGTCTTTCCTTGACATCAGCTCTGAAGAATTCCAGTACCTTCTTCTGATCTCTAAAGATTTTTGTCTTTAAATCTTCCCTTAAAAAATTATAACCTGTCACATGTTCCGAGGCAGCTGGCCTGGTGGCGTGAGATCCGTAACGTTGAATAGGTCTACAAGGAACAGAGAATGGGAGAGTTGGTTTCAGGATTAAAAAAAAAAAAGACTGGCTTGTGGCATTTGCTGATTTCTGTGGTGTGAATAGCCCCACCATGGCCAGTCCCAGGCTATGAACATGACATCACTGAACCGAAAGTCGGGACGATACCAGGATATGGAGTGCTGCACCATCATGTGGCATTTTCATCATGCCGACGCAGTCAACAAAAACAACCCCCAGAGCACCGATAATGGTAAGATGAAATAAAATGATTAGCAAGTGATGAGCTTTAAGTATTTAGTACCTTTTTTATTGAGGTAAAATTCACATAACATCAAACTCACCATTTTAACTATTTTAAAGTGGACATCTTGGCAGCGTTCAGGTACACTGATAATGTCGTACCACTGCCAGAACATTCTCATCACTGCGAAAGGAAGCCCTGTGCCCAATCAAGTGGCCACCCCGTATTCTCCCTCTCTATCCCTCACAACCACTGTAATCTGCTTTCTGTGCCTGCGAACTTGCCTCATCTGGGTTTTTCATATAAATGGAATCACACAGGATGTGACCACTTTGGTCTGGCTTCTTTCACTCAGCATTGTGTGTTCAAGGTTCGTCCCTGTGGTAGCGTGTGTCAGCACTTCGCTCTCGTTATGGCTGAAGAATATCCCATTGTGTGGATGGACTGCATCTTGTTTATCCATTCATCTGCTAGTGGACATTAGGGTTGTTCCCCCCTTTTGGCTGTGTTGAATTGTGCTGCTGTAAACATGCATGTACAGGTTTCTATATGAATTCCTATTTCCAGCTCTTTGGGGTGTGTGCCTAGAAGTTGAATTGCTAGGTCATATCGTAGTTTATGTCTAACTTACTGAGGAGCCTCCAAAATGTTCACCATCTTACGATCGCATAAGCAATGCTCATTTGTCATTTCCAGCTTGTTGTTATTGCTGAAGATGTGCTGGTGTGAAGTCATGTCTCATGGTGGTTTTGATTTACATTTTTCTAATGACTGATGGTATCGAGCATCTTTGTCTGTGCTTTTGGCTCTTTGTAGACCTTCCTTTTGGAGAAATGTGTATTCAAGTCCTTCGCTCATTTTTTAGTTGAGTTGGTTGTCTTTATTGAGTTGTGAGAATTCTTTATGTATTCTGGACATAACAGATATGTGATTTGCAAATACTTTCTTCCATTCTGTGAGTTGTCTTTTCACTTTTATTTAAAATTTATTATGTTCAGTTAGCCAACGTATAGTACATCTTGGTGTCCTTTGATGCACAAAAGTTTAATTTTGGTAAAAAAAATTTTTTTAATTGGTATAGGGGTGCCTGGGTGGCTCATTCTGTTAAGCGTCTGCCTTCGGCTCATGTCATGATCCCAGGGTCCTGAATTGGAGCCCTGCAACGGGCTCCTTGCTCAATGGGGAGTCTGCTTCCCCCTCTCCCTCTGCCTGCCACTCCCCCTGCTTATGCTCTGTCTCCCTCTGTCAAATAAATAAAATCTTTAAAAAAAATAAAAAGTTGGTATACAATCAGGTTTAAAAAGTTAGTATAAGCTTACATAAAACATGATTAAAAATTTTTTTAATTGTTTGTGCTTTTGATGTCATATCTAAGAATTCATTGCCAAATCCAAGGTCATGAAGATTTACTCCTACATTTTCTTCTAAGAGTTTTGTAGTTTTAGCTCTTACATTTAGATCTTTGGTCAATTTAGAGTTAATTTTCGTATATGAAGTGACATAGGGAGTCCAACTTCATTCTTTTACATGTGAATATCCAGTTGTATACCTTTGTTTTTAAGATAACTTATAAGTTTATATAATTTAACTCTTAATTGTGGCCATGTTTAACAGCTGGCTTGCAAAATTCCTGAAAATCAGCTCTCATGAGCCAGCGTGAACTGGTGTGAGCCGTTAGGAGCCAGTTCCCGCATGCCGCTACTTCTACCTTACCCAGCTTGCTGCAGAAACCTGCAGTATATATTGTTTTTCTGAAGGAGATGAGCTGGGGGATGATCAAAGTGTGCTTATGGAGCTCCTAGGGGATGGGTGTCTGAGCAAGAAACATCTGGAGACCCCATTCCTGTAACCATGGGCCTGTCCTGCCTCTTCCCATTGTATTTGGCTTTCCCTCCCATGGTTTGAAGAGCATGGCTGGGTCTCTCTTGCTGTCTTGCCTTATATTTGCCTAGCTCTTCCCTCTGGCTGAGAGGGAACTGACTGTGTCCCAGTTGGATCTGGAGGGGTTTTGGAAGCCCCACCTTTGAGCAGAGACCCAAGCCTGATCCTGAGGTTGAAGAAGTGCTCCTTATCCTGGTGGGGTAACCAGATAAAGTACAGGCTGCCATTACATTTGGATTTCAGGTAAATAATACATAATTTTTAGTGTAAGCATGACCTGTGCAAGATTGGGATATACTTATACTAAATAATTATGTATTGTTTATCTGAAATTCATTTAGCAGGGGAGTCTTCTATTTTCATTTGCTGAATCTGTTAGGCTTCTCTTCAGGTCAGTTTTCTTCCTTATTGCCTCCATCCAATAGCAGAGGCTAAGAACTCCAGAGTGAAAAAGGTCCTAGGGAGGTGCTGATTCTCTTCCCCTTTTATAGATCTGGAAACTGAGTCCCGGCATGGAATCACTGTGGACTTTGAGGACCTTGCTAAGCTACACGACTTTTCTTTTTCATGAAGGCAGCACGTTTTCTAAGTGTCCCCTCTGCACAGGGTACTGTGCTGGGTGTTGAGGGATGACAGTAACAAGCCTACCGTGTGTAGAGGGCAAGGGTCAAGAGTTCCCTTAAGGCATGTGAAATAAGAGGCAGGATTCAGACAGACCTGGGTCCAGATCCTGCTTTGCCATGTATTAGCTGCATGTCAAGTCACTTCTCTCTGAGCCTCTGTCTCCCCTTTAATAATGTGGGGATAACTATTTCTATGGGGGGATTGTTACCAAGGCTCCAGTGGGGTGATGAAATGCCCGGTGGGGGCAGGGAAGGGTTTACTGCATGATGAGAGAAGAGAGGTGCCCCCAGTAAAGTTTGGTGTTGCCCACAGGTCGCCAGGCATCCTGAACCACCCAGATGATGCAGGATGGAGGTGCCAGAACTCACTCGCGCTTTCTCGCCTGCCGGGGGCCAGCCGGCTCCGGCTCCTAGACACCCAGGAGCCCCAGGTGGGCAGGTCTCACCTCACCTGACCCTGGGCCCTGTCATTCTGCCACCGGAGCAGGGTCTGGCCACTACCGTGTTCCTGAAGGCCCTGCCCATCCCATTGTACCACACAGTGCCTCCGGGGGGCCTCCAGCCGCGTGCCCCCCTTGTGACACACAGCCTCGACGGGGGCAGCATACCCTTTATTCTCAGCCCCCTGCTGCGGCCTGAAGGACCCGGCCCTACCCAGGCAGGGAAGCCAGTGGCCCCGGCACTCACCGTGAACATTGTGGGCACTCTGCCTGTCCTGTCGCCAGGCCTGGGGCCCACGCTGGGGAGCCCGGGCAAGGTACGGAATGCCGGCAAGTACCTTTGCCCACACTGTGGCCGGGATTGCCTGAAGCCCAGTGTTTTGGAGAAGCACATCAGGTCCCACACGGGTGAGAGGCCCTTTCCATGTGCTACCTGTGGCATCGCCTTTAAGACCCAGAGCAACCTGTATAAGCACAGACGCACCCAGACCCACCTCAACCACTCTCGGCTGTCCTCGGAGTCTGATGGCGGTGGGGGCAGCCTCCTGGAGGAGGGGGACAAGGCTGGGGAGAGCTCCAGAGCAGATGGCATGGGGGACAGCAGCAGCCAGAGGGTGGGTGGTGGGGCCCGATCGGAGAGACCCCTTTCTGTAGGTGCCCAGGGTGCTGGACACTGCCCAGCGCCTGCCATGCCTCTGTCTTCTGTTGCCAAGACCCTGGGTCTGAAGTTGGAAGCTGTTCCCTGTCCAGGGTCCACATTTGCTGACAGAGAGACCCCCGTGGACTCTGCCCACACGGCCTCCCCTGGGCTTGCCCTGGCTGGCTCCCAGCCAAGGTGGAAGCTGCCAGAGCAGACGTCCCCGACTACCAGCCGTCTGTGCTCCCTGCAGAAGCAGCAAGTGGTCGCGTCCTCGGAGAAGCCCTGGGACGCCAAGGCCTTGGAGGGCCAGCTGCGGAAGTGTGAGAGCACCGACTCGGGCTACCTGTCCCGCTCGGACAGCGCAGAGCAGCCGCCGGCCCCCGGCAGCCCCCTGCACAGCCTGTCGGGGCACAGTGCTGAGTCTGAGGTGGAGGTGGCCCTAGGGCCTGGGGGGCCCAGCCTGCAGCTGGAGAAGAAGCAGCTGGAGGAGCGCATCGCCTGGCTCATCTCCCACAATCAGGCTGTGGTGGACGATTCTCAGCTGGACAATGTGCGGCCCCGCAAGACGGTCCTGTGCAAGCAAGGCAGCATCGACTTGCCCATGCCCTACACCTACAAGGACTCCTTCCACTTTGACATCCGGGCGCTGCAGCCAGGACGGAGGAAACCCGCTGCCCTCAGCTCAGCCCGTTCCACCTTTACCCCCCCGGACAAGGCACGGCCACTCTTCTTTCACTCTGTCCCCACTCAGCTCTCCACCACTGTGGCATGTGTGCCCATCACCAGGAGCAACTCACTGCCCTTTGTCGAGGGCACCAGGACATGGCAGGAGCCCCCAGGCCCTCAGGACGCCTGCCCCAGGAGGCAGAAGCCTCTAAGCCCCAGGCCTGCCCCCGCCCGACTGGTGAATGTTCCCAGCGGCCACCCCCGGGCCCTGGTCAGACAGGCTGCCGTGGAGGACCTGCCATGCCCCCCCACTGGAGACAGTCTGGTGCCCGCAGAGGACTCGGATAGAAACAGAGCTGCTGCTGGGGAGGAGGCAGCCAGCAAGGGCAGAGCAGGCAGTAAGAAGTGCAGCCAGAGGAAGCTGAAGATGTTCTCCCAGGACAAGTGGCAGGTGTATGGGAATGAGACATTCAAGAGAATCTACCAGAAAATGAAAACCAGTTGCCACGGAGGGAAGAAGGCAAGGGAGATGACCCTGGGTAGTGGGACAGAGCTGGCCCTTCCTCTCCAGGAAGAGTTAGCAGGGAATGAGGGCACAGTCCCATCCCAGGACAGGAGGACCCCTGTCCATGGGGACACAGCTGTGGGGGCCAAGCCAGGGCCTTGCCAAAGTCCACTGGCCCCGGAGGGCTTCTTGGTGATGGAGTCCCCCAAGCAGAGGGAGATGGTGGCCAGAGCAGGAGGCAGTGACCAGCCTAGGGTGAACAGGGCCACCTCGCCCCCCACCCTCAGCTGCAGAGAACCCCCCTGTTTGGGCAGCAAGAGCCCCCTGCTTCCTCCAAATGGGAGGCTGGAGCTGGGGTGTCAGCTGCCTCCAGTGCCTGGTCCCCTCAGGGGAGGTGACCTAGAGGCTCCCAAGCTGATTTTGCCAGACCCTAAGATGGAAGAAGGCACCAGTGGTGGTGGGGACAAGAAGGAGACCTGTCAGTGGACCCAAACTGTGCCAAGGCGGCCCAGTGGTAGCTCTGGGGAGCCCCAGCCCTCAGAGGACAAGCTCCCCTCAGAGAGGAAGAAGCTGAAGGTGGAGAAGCTGAGCTGCCAGGAGCAATCAGAGCCTTTGGGAACAGAAAGAGAGGCCCCAGGTGGCCCCGTGCAGGCCACGTCCCTGCCGTCTCAGAACCAGGACTGTGACCCTGGGGATAAGCCAGGGGAGCTGCATGAGAGTGCTGATGGCATGGCGAGGGGCAGGGCTGGGCAGCCGAGCAGGCCCTTGGAGCTTTCTGGCGCCCCGTCTGCTGCTCCTTCTGTGGCCCCGAGGCAGGTGGGGCTGAGGGAAGAGACCTTGCCGTGTCCTAGAGCTGCGTCCCTTGGGCATCGGTCCCACCTGGCCACTCAGGCTCCTGGTGTCCTCGCTGCCCTGGCAGACACTGCCTTCCCCCCCAAGTACCTCCTCAGGTTGCCTCAGGAAGAGACCCACCCACCACCTCCCGTCGCCCTGGGGCTGGGACAAGGCCAGGACCCTGTCTGCAGGAGAAGGTGGCCCGAGGAACAGGCATCCTTTGTCGGGTCAGGGCTGGGGACCCTCCTGCCTCCCTGCCCGGCTTCAATCTTGGCCCCCAGTGGGGCAGACAGCTTCCAGGAGGACCCCAGCTGCTCTAGGCCATGGGGCAGGAGAAAAGGGGTGCAGGGAGAGGAGAGAGGATACTTGGACACTGGCACCCCAGCAGCGGGGCAGTCCCATGGCTCATCCACCAGCAGTCCCAGGGAGACAGCTTCCTTCTTGCCCACCCCAACGTGTGCCACCTGGAAGAGCGGGCCCCCTGACACCCGACACCTCTGCACGGGCAGCACTGTGGTAGGGGCCAAGCCGTCTGGTGGTGTCCTGAATCCCTGCGCACTTAGCAGGGCGTTGGGACCTCCTGAGAATGCCCCGGAAGACCCTCCCTCGGGGCCTCTGGCTGGGCTCAATTCCTGCCACTCCTTCCTCACAGCCCCCACGCCCCCCAGCTGGCCGGAGTTGGCCTTGTGTACCCACTCAGAGACCCTGTGGAGCTTCAGGGCCCACGGCCCTTTCCCGTCATTGAGGGCTGAGCCCCGACTCACATGGTGTTGCTTGAGCCGAAGCCTGCCTCTGCCCACAGAGCAGAAGGAAAAGGCTGCTTCTGTGTACCTGGCACTGCACTTCCTTGGTGGCAGCGCGCAGGACAAGGGTCCAGACGCCCGGCCCGTGAGCAGGGCAGTGGTGGGAGGATGGACGAAGACAGGCCTGGGAGAAGGAGGGCAGGTCCAGACATCAAAGGTAAAATCCTCCTTTGCCTAGGGCCCCAGGGCTGGAGGAGTGTGCTTGGCACACTCGTAATGATGGAGAAGGGGGCGTGAAGCCACCCCGGGGAACACCTGCTCTTTGTGATACCGTCTTCTCAGCCTGCTCCCAAGGGAAGTGGGGCTGCCATACACGGCGGGATAGATAAAGGCCAAAAATGCAACACAAAACAAAATAATGAAAAAATACATTTCAAAGGAAAGAATTACTGTACCAAGACCCTAGATGAGATACTTTTCATCACTAGACGTTAAATTTAACTCTGAGCTTCCCGGTAACAGCAGCAAAAAGTGAAATGAACACAGCCCAGAAAAGCTCTGTGGGTGACAGAGGATTATAAACCGGAAGTTGTTACTGAGAGACTCCAGGTGAAACACCTTCTCTTACAAGGAGAGAATTATTGAGGCACCTGGCTGGCTCAGACGGTAGAGCATAGGACCCATGATCTCGGGGTTGTGAGTTCGAGCCCCACATCGGGTGTAGAGATTACTTAAAATTAAAAGAGAGAGAGAGAGAAAGAGTTATTATACCAGGAACTCGGGAAACAATTACTATGATCAGATAACTTAATGTCCGAGTTCCCTGGGAGTGGCCAAAAGGGAAGGGGCCGAGTGCTCTGGAGTTCTCACTTGGTGACCAGTAGTAAGTTTGTGGTCCCATCTCAAGAGCGAGTCCATACATCCGGATTGTGTCCTGCTCTGGGAAGTCTTGGGCCAGGGCAGCTGAAGAGGGTCCTGGAGCCTCCGTTCTGACGTAACCGTAGGCAACAGTGGCAGAGCCGGGACTCCAGAGCCTTACGGGCTATTCTTTGTCCCGAGAGTGGTGATTAATAAGGAATGTGCTGAGTCTCAGACGGGGGTGCAAGGGGCGGGGGGGTGGGATCCGAGACCAGTTGGGCCCTTCTTCCTCCAAAAGGCCATTGGGTACCAGGTGTGGGTGTTCCTGGAGAGGTGGAGTTGGGGGCTGGGGGTGGGGGTGGGGAAGACCTGGCCGCAGTGTTCCCTGGGCCTCCAGTTAACACCATAGGGCTTTGAGCAATATGATGCCAACATGCCTGGTATTTTCAGCTCTCCTGCCCAGTGGCCTCAGGGATGGTGTCCCAGCCTGAATGGAAGAAAGGACCGCCGTGGAGGAAGGCGAAGATGTTCCGGGGGAGCGGCAAACAGAAGCTGAGCATCCGCTCCAGAAGGTAGGGTGTGTGGCCACCTCTGTCTGGCCCATGTGTGCTCATCCTGTCAGGAGCTGCCAGGGGCGATTTGCTAACCCCAGGAAAACCTTCACAGGGGTTCCAGAGGGTCTGTGTAGGAGTGAGGGTCTGGAGGTTCATGGGCAAAGGAATCAGTTTGTTCCCCATCAGCCCGTCTGCACAGCACCCTCCCCCGACTGTGCTTTTCGGGGGCACCTCTCCAAGGCCAGGAATCCAGTAAATATTTGAAATAACTGAGTTGAGAACACATCCACCCGTTTAAGTCCTGAGGAGAGAGTGCGTTAATTATTTACAGCTTTTATTGCTTTTTTATTTATGCAAGTGGTACATGTCCTTTGCAGAAAAGTTCGGAAATACAGGTCAGCAAAGAGGAGATGATAAAGCATCCTGGTACTGCCTCTGTTCTGGGGAGCATTACTGGTGTGTGTGTAAGGTGCTCCCTTCCAGACTTTTCTCTGTGACACGTGCATGCACAGCATCTCCTGACAGACGGGACGCACAGCTTTTACTAATACCACTCTTTCATCGTTGACGGTCTTGCCCCTTTGCTCAAAACCGTTTAGCTGCTGGGGACGAGGGGGCAAGGCCACTCTTTCACCAGGCCCCACCCCTCTGTGCCGCCCGATAAGCTGTTGGGTCTGGTTTTCCCGTGGCCTTCTGTCCTGCTCAGGGTGACTTCGTGTTGCCTCCCTGTCTCCTGTTCTCAGATTCACATGCTGAACCCAGAGCCCTGATGCTTTCCCGAATTCCCCCTCCACATCTCGGCCCTCTAATCTCCCCTTCCTGGAACACGCCTGCCTTTTCCCCTCATTGTCAGTATTTGACCCAAAGCTGAGATATTCTTCAAGAGGCAGTGCAGATTCCTAATTCTTCCCTACAGCTGCTCAGCACCTCTGTGGCTAGAGGTGATGTGCCCTCTGGACAGGCTTCAAGATGAGGCCCCCGCCCGTTTCAGCTGTCTGCCGGACCACGTGTCCGGAGCTGGCATCACTGAGGGCTTGCTTTGTGCTGGGCACTGCACAGTGACCCCCATTTTTCCCCTGAGGAACCTGAGACACAAATCGGGCAGCCTCTCCAAGGACCCAGATGTGAATCAGCAAGTCTTCTTTTTTTTTTTTTCAAGATTTTATTTTGTTTATTCCAGAGAGAGAGAGAGAGAGTGAGAGAAAGAGAGAGAGAGCACAAGCAGGGGGAGCAGCAGAGGGAGAGGCAGAAGCAGGCTTCCCGCTGAGCAGTGAGCCCGATGTGGGGCTCGATCCCAGGACCCCGGGATCATGACCTGAGCCGAAGGCAGACGCTTAACGACTGAGCCACCCAGGTGCCCCTGAATCAGCAAGTCTTACTGCAGAGCCCGTATGTAGATAGCAGCTTGCCCTGTGCCCCCAGCCTGTGACGGGCATGAGGGTCACCTGGAGTTGTGTGGGTTTTCTTGTGATGCTGAGACACGTTCCTCAGGTCTGGGGTGGGGCCTGAGACTCTGCATTTCTAACAGGCTCCCAGGTGAAGCTCAGTGTGCCAGCCCCTGGGAGCACTCTTGCAGGAGCTATTCTTCATGCTGTCCCAAACCACATTTCATCCTTCCCCAAAGAAGCCCAGCTGTTCATAGCTGAATGAAAGAAGGGTCACACTGCCTGTGTGACAGGAACATCCAGTCCTACCACAAACCCCTGAGCCATGCAGAGGGGGGGAGGGATGGCTCCCTCAGGGAGAATTTGGGTGCTGTTCTCAGATGGAATGAATGCTAGCCACACCAAAGAGAAGCTGCTCATGGATTCAGAGAGCACAGGGATGTTGGTAGGTGGCCATGTGCCCCGTCAGTATCTCCCACATTGGACTGATGTGGAAGAAGTACTAAACTGCATGTAGTGACAGCTGCAAGCCTGTTTCTGGACCTCAATCATGGTCCCAGGAGAGGTGGGGTGAGGGACAAGCATGCATGCCTCATTGACTGCTCCCATCTTCCCCAGACTTCAACTTAGCTAATACAACAGATCATCACCATGCACCTGCTAGGTGTCATGTGCCACCATGGAGACCAGAGGGGAAACTTCCCCAAACCAGGCTGGTGGTGCCTGGCTGATGCTCCAGGAAGCCTGGAGAGGTGTCTGCAACAACTCCTGGGCCAAGCGTAGCCTGGGTGAGAATCTCCTCAGGTCTGACCACATTTACAAGTTTTGACTCTTAGTAGCCAAATAAATACCAGATTTCACATAAAAATCTGCATTTCTAGCTTGTCTTGAAATACCTGAAGCTCTGGAGAATCTGGGCCTGCCCTCCTGCATGGCAGCAGCTAGCTGGAGCTGAGTAGTGGCCGCCCCTGTGGACAGCACCTGTGCTCTGCACCTCGCCTCAGTCCCCGCCCCTCCCTGTGGAGTTACACTGAGCTTGGTCTTAACATCTGGCTTTGCGGGAGCCAAAAACTGCCTCCCCCATCAGTGAGCTTCTCAGCAAGAGCCCGTGGGTGGGAAGGTAGGTGAGCGGGCATTGGCTCTGGGGTAGAACAGGGAGGGGTCTGAATCCTAGATGAGGGTGAGGCCACTGAGATTTTTATATCCCCTGAGCATTTGTCGGGCAACCATGACTGAGCCATCATTTGTGCCTTTATTGGCTTGTGACTGTCCATTGAGTTCATTCCAGCTGCCTGGAGCTTCCAGCGTCGGCACATGCAGATCCTCTACCTCCTCCTACACAGCTCACCTCTGGCTCCTCACACAGCTGGCTCCCCAGTCTCAGCAGAGACAGCACCACTGCAGTGGGACTTCCTGACCTCTGTACGTCAATGTTCTCCCTCCCATCGTCTCCCTCCCACCATCTGGTTTTATTACCTTCATGGCGTGTTGGCACAATTCGGTTTTTTGAGGCATAGAGTTCATGGTAGCTTGCTTCTTAACACCAACAATGGAGAGAGAATGTGCCTCTCCTGCCTTAATAAGTCTCTGACCTCAGAGATCTTCTTCTGAAGGACTTGCCTGATTAGATCAGGTCCACCCAGGATAATCTACTTGATTAGAAACCTTCATCGCATCAGCAAAAATACCTTTACCTTTGTCATATTTTGTTAATTAGGAGCAAGTCACAGTTTCCACCACACTCACACGAGGAGAGGATTATACAAAGGTGTGACTTATAGGATCACCCTAGGGTGCGTCTGCCAGAAATGGCTTTCCCTGGCTCACCCAGCTTATGGAATTAGGGCTGCAATCTGAGTTTTCTGATCCAGTGTCTTCCATTGTACCACTCATGGTGAGTGGTTGCTAAGACTTGTCCTTTTAATGAAGGACACACATCTCTGGGGAGGTGTTCAGAAAGGAATACGATGCTGGGCTTATGAGAAAAGAGTTCCCTTTAATGGCATATTCCTTACTAAGCCACTGGTTTGATAGCATTTGGCCTGCAAAGATTTGATAAAGATGACTAATTTGTTTGACTCACACGAGGTCTCAAACTCAGTTCATTTTCTGGTGGTGGATGGCATAGTTGGATGATAAAGCTTCTTGGAGAAGTGTCCTCTCCATTTCTTTCATATTTAGTCCATCTTCAGAAACAGGGATGTAGTGCCCAGTCTGAGGGGCAGTGTTGGGAAAATGCTGAAAGGTAGTGCCTAGTCTAAAGGGGCTTCGTGTTCACTGTTCAGGAGGCCATTTCACACAGCTTATTTTTTCTCTTTAGTATATTGAAATCCATCCATTTCTCACATAGTAACTTACGGCCAATTTACAACGGAAGTTAATAGTAACATAGGATTTGTTTAACGTATATTTACTTTGCAGATAACCAAACAGGAAAACTTTTGATGAAGGGTTTATCTACCATTGATCATCCATCATCCATCATCCATCCATCCATGTCTGTGTCTATGTCTAGATCTATCTATTTATCTATCTGTCTACCCACCCACCTATATACGTACCATCTACCTGATTAGTTTTCTGTTGCTGCTATAACAAATTACCAGTTTCACGTAAATTTTGTTGTGAACAACACCAATTTAGTATTTTATAGTTCTGTAGATCAGAATTCAATATGTGTCTCCCCTGACAAAATCAAGGTGTCAGCAGGGCTGCATTCCTTCTGGAGGCTCCAGTGGAGAATCAGTTTCCTGCTCATTTGGGTGGTTGGCAGAATTTCGCTCCTGGCAAGTGGCTCCTCTTCCATATCACAAACCAGCAAGGGCGGGTTGGGTCCCTTTCACACTTCAGGTCTCTGCTCCTTCTTGTTCAGTCTCACTTTTCAGACCCAGTCTTCTGCCTCTTCTTTCATTTTTAAGGACTCATGTGTTTAGATTGGGTTTACCTGGATAATCCAGGATACCTCATTATCTTGGCGACTGTGCCCTTAATTACATTCATGAAATCCCTTTTGCTGGGGATGTCACATAGTCACAGCTCTGGGGATTAGGACACGGACATCTTTGAGGGTAGGGGCATTATTCCACTCCATCTATCTATCCGTCCATCTGTCCGCCCACATGTCTATGATGTATATGTGCATGATGCATCGATTTATGTATCTGTCTACGCACTCACGTATGTATGTATGTATGCATGCATCTCTCTGTCATTTATCCACTCGTGTGTTCTCTTCTTGAGAAAGAGGCCTGTTTTCTTATTCACGTTCCCATTTCACTTCAGTTGTCTTCACATTCACCAGAAAATGAAATTCGGTAGCAGAGAATTCTCCATAGGCCTTAGCTCCCAGTGCATATGGTGAAACCCATGTAGCGGAGTATCTTTTCTCTTTTACTCTTGTTTTGAAAAACACTTAAAAATGCAGAACAGTTCAGAAAATATGTAACAGACTCTTGGGTAATGATCCAGAATTAGTAATTATTAACATTTTGTCATATTTGTTTCTGAGCTTTTAAAAAAATGAAATAAAATATTACTTTATATTTTGTATATGAAGTATATATTTATATTATACATATATATTATATATATACACATATACATATATATTATGTAGTTTTACATATTTGGCAC